AAATTTTGGCTAAAGATTTAACTAACAAAATATTAATGCATGTTAAAAAAAATTATCTCATTGGATTCGTATTTGAACATAATTTTTAAAAATATAATGTTTGGTGACATGCGTGAACATTTTGTTGGTTTGATCTATGACTGAAATTTAGCACGAAATACAATGAGGACCAATAAACCCGGACGGAGGTAGTAATAGTTAACTTGATATGAAATCTCAAGGAGGTTGTTACTCCTCCTCCTCTACACTAGAAAAGGCTCTCGCCCTGCTTTAATTTAAAAAGCAAGACCAACATACAACCATAAAATACAACACGCCATCAGCATGCACGCATCCAACGTAAGATATGGAGCTGCTATGGAGTAGCCACAATACCCCATACAAGTCCAAGTACACAACATATAAACACTAAGGCTCACTAAGAAGTCGAACTAGTTCTCAACCGTGAGCAAGCCACGATGAAGAGACAAAGTAGCATGCCTAACGAACCAAGAGCTCCTAGGTGGTGCCTTCATGAAGGACACAAAACCTGAGCCCTGCCACCACCCAATCCAAAGGATCAAGACTTTCATGTAGAGCAACCACGAAAGGTACTTCAAGAAGGTGGCGATGTGCATGGATGACGCTTCCGTCAGCCTGACCAAAGGCATGAACGGTTTTCACCCTGGTAAGCTCGCTCCACCTTCGACACTGATCGTCAAGCAACAATCACGATGCCGCCTAGGCGGGCATGGTAACTAACCAGCTTCTAAGCCATGCGCTCAGCCCATGAGCACCACGGCTTCCACGATCAGGGTTACTGCCCTAGAGTCCAGACATCCAAGATTCCATCCATGGCTTCAGGCCATGCCTGACCGGCAGGGCCCAACCACCAACGAATCCACCAACACTCTTCTTGCCCAGCTTGGTCTAGGACTAGGAGGAACTAGGTTAGGGAAGAAGTGAAATTGCAGGACCAGAGCACATCGTAGACTGCCACCGCTTTGTGCTGGCTATGGGTGGCACGGCCGGATCGGCGCCACCCCTGTAATGCCCCACCATGTCTCCCTGCTGCCCATCACTGCGCATATGGCGAGCACCACATGTTGCCGCAGAAGGGCCGTGGAAGCATCAACAAGGGCCGTTTAGTGACAGCGTTAAAGCGTTTAGCAACAGCGTTCACATAAGCGTGCCTGCCCTAAGTATATATGCACGTTTAGCAACAGCGTTAAAGCGTTTCCTTGCGGATCCGAGTTCCAACCTGATCGACCGAATACGTATGGCAGTCTGTTCTATCTGCTCACCGGCCGTCCGGGGATAATAAATATCAGGCGTACGTACCTACGTACCTTCCGATCACGCACCGCACCAGACGTACCTGTCGTCTCAAGTCCCGATCCATCCAAACCCTAGCAACATTAATCCTAGCTAGCTAGCCAGGCACGCTATGGTAAAGCCGGCCGACGTGCTCGGCCTCACGCGGGGCTACAAGCTGGAGCCTCACGACGACGAGGCGGTGGAATATTACCTGCTCCGTCGACTCCTTGGCCAGGAGCTCCCGCTGGAGGGCATCATCCTCGAGGACGATCCGCTGAGCGCGCCGCCATGGGAGCTCTTGAACAAACACGAGCTGGAGGACAATGCTTTCTTCTTTGCCCACGGGCAAACCATCGACAGCAAGGGCAGTCGGAACAAGCGGACCTGCGCGGGCGGCGGGTGCTGGGAAGGGCAGAAGGTCCTCGTGGATGACAAGGAGCTCATCGTCCCCGACAGCGGCATGGAGATCACCTGGAAGAAGTACCAGCTCAACTTCCACAACGACGGCGAGAAGGGCAGCACGGGGTGGGTCATGCACGAGTACTCCGTCACAGCCCCGCCCGATCTGGCCTCGTCGTCGCTCAGGCTGTATCGCATTTTGTTCAGTGGCCACGGCAAGAAGCGCAAGAGGGAGCCCGATGATTACGGCCGCGACCACGACGGTGGAGCTCGCGCGGCCACCCGGCAACCCATAGACGAAGAGTCCGAACTTCATCTTCTCGAGGAGCGGATTTCGGCGTCGGCAGATTTCGGCAGATCTTCAGAAGATCAGGATGGCTACGGTAACGCGGGAAACGCGACAGAGGATCATCACCTGCTGGGTTCTTCCCATGACTTGGGCCGCTCGTGGTTCTTGCCAGGCGGAGACCATGGAGTAGGGCCGGCCGCGGCGACATCAGGTCAAGACGCCCCAGCAGCTGGCGTGATACATGAGTTCGCCGGTGCAGATGATGGTGTTGCGACGGTGGAAGGAACGCTACCGTCCTCCGGCGCGATGGACGAGTCCTTCTTAGATATCGAGCTGCCAGAGAACATCAACTTCGACGAGTTCTTTGCCTTTGACGAGGTGTGCGGTTTGGAGGGACACCTCGACGGCCAGTTCTCCGGCACCAGCATGCATACGCAATTTTCCGGGATGCAGCCCAGGCCGAATCCTTACTACATGAGTTGCTAAATTGCTTAAGTTAGCATGAATGCGCAATTGTCGAGGACACACGCGGTAGCATGATTTGCTGATGGTGGCACCGTGTGCATGTATCACTTTGTAGTGTATCCAGATTAGATGACCCTTGTTTGTAATGCTATGCAGAAGGCCTGATCTGATGTGGCAGTTTGTAATACTTGATGAATTTGATTATAGAATTTTTCAAGTTTGAACTTAATTACTGATGATAAGTTGAAATTAATCTTGGAAGATATGCCAAGTCAGCATGCGCCAGCCAGTCATGCTCATGTGGGAGCTATGGAAGCATCGAAACTCAATTGTGTTTGATGGAAAGAGTCCGGACGTGCGACATGTGCTACGGCGGATAGCATCTGAAGGCGCGGTCTGGAAACAGGCAGGCATACAACTGATTTTGGTTGTTTCAACCGAAAGAAAAACATGTTACAATAATTTTGAAAAGCTACTTTAACTCATTACAAATAAAAAAATCTTGTTTCAAGAAGCTGGTATATGTCAAATAAAAATGAACTTAAATCATTTCATAAAACAAACTTGATTTACTCGTTTCGAATAACTCATCTGAAGTATTTCAAAAACCTGATATCGCTCAATTCAAAAAACAAATCCGCCCGCTTCCTAAAACAACTTTTGCTCGTTTCAAAAATTATGTTTCACTTATTTCAAAAATGATTTCGTTCATTCAAACAATGATTTCAAGAAACTAATTTCAGAAAACATATTACACTCACTCGAATGAAAAAGCTGGTATATTATATTTCAAGAAACTTATTTCAGAAAACATATTACACTCACTCAAATGGAATACCATATTTCACTTGTTTCAGAAAAGCGATTTCACTTTTTACAAAAGATAGATTTCACTCATTTCACTAGTTTCAGAAAACACATTATACTCACAATATACACACTGAAATAAGGAGTTTCACAAAAATAATCATTTCACTCATTTTAGAAAAATGATTTCACTCATTTTAAAATACTAACTTTGACATGCTTGAATTATTTCACTCATTTTAGAAAACTGATTTCAGTCAATATAAATTATTGATTTTCAATTATTTTGACTTAGAATATTTGTTTCAATTCTTTGAAATAATTTATATTTATGAACTTAGTGAAATTTGTTTAAACTAAGTGAAATCTATGAAACTAGAATTTTTTGGAGACTGTGAAACATGTTATTTTTAAGATTGATCTCGTTCTGCAGATTATGTTGCAAGGAATTTGAATATATATATAAAAAATCAATAACAAAATTTTAATGTGAAAGATAGTGGCTATCTAAGAGAGAGAGAGAGAGAGAGAGAGAGAGAGAGAGAGAGAGAGAGAGCGGAAAGAAGTTACATGCATGCGTGCACTGTGCTGACAAAAGCCGTACCTGTAGCTAACATTGTAGTCCAAAGTGGTGAAAAGATGTAGGCTAATTATATGACATACTACAGTGTTATATGAGAGGTGGGTTAAGAAAATACAGTGTTATACGAGAGGTGGGCACCAGAACACACGAATCGCAAGCCAGACGAACGGCAGATCGTTCACCGGCACCTCCCTGAACCGGTAAAAAGTGGTTTGCGTTCCTTTTGGCTCCAAGGGTTATCTAATCCCAAAATCTGAGTCGACCAATTCTGTTAAGATGTGCACCGGCCGTTGCACCTCAAAAAACATCACTATGTTAATCTATATCAATACCAATATATAAACATACATAAAGGGGCAGATGCAACTAATCTTGACCATCAAACCAGCTCAATCTAATGACCCAGACTGCCCCGGCGAGTGCTCGACATGTCTAGCGTGCAACTGATATCATTTCAAATATCAATATTGACACTAATCAAATAATTAACACACAAATAATATCCAACATAATATTTACATGCAATTAATATACTGCATAATATCAACGTGCACTGCACGTACACATTTCTAGTTTCAAGAAACACGGTAAAACCGCTTGAAGCAGAACTGGGCTGGCAAACACAACAACTAGGGTATGTGGTTTGTACGTGAACACTACTATTGTATTCTTTGCTAGGAGCGAAGAATAGAAATTCAATGATACTAATGCTTAGAATATCACGGCGAATATTATCACCAACAAGAATCAATTGTGTGCAATATTATACTACTCCCTCCTATACATTATTAATTGTCACTGATTTATTACAACAAGGTCTTCACGCTTGATGAACTTTGTACTAAATTAGGGACAATTAATATGGATCCTCGATGTAGTTTATTTTGCTTTTTTGTTTTTTCAGCACGTTGTTTTGTGTGCAATCAGAAAGAAAAACAGCACACACACGTGCAAGCACTTTGAATAGCCAGAGGATATATATACATTGGTCAACATATCTATCAGATTTCGAGGATCACCGGATATAGATAGATCAGGACGACCGGTCACCGGATATAGATAGATCATTGACCATCTCCACTAGCTGTTTGATCTGCATTTCTGGCCTACAAAACCAGCAGCCGAAGTCGACGACGCAGATCGACAGCAGAGCAGGAAGACATGGAGATCGCGGCTGAGTGCGAGCACCGCATGGAGCCGGTGCTGGTGACCCCGAGCCAGCCGACGCCGGGGCACACCCTCTACCTCTCCAACCTCGACGACCAGTGCCTCCTCCGCTTCTCCGTCGAGTACCTCTTCGTGTTCGCGGGTGACGTCGACGTCGACGCCCTCAGGACGGCGCTGTCCAGGGTCCTCGTCGACTACTACCCGCTCGCCGGCAGGCTCGGGCCCGGGAACGACGGCAAGCTTGTCGTCGACTGCAACGCCGAGGGGGCGCTTTTCGAGGAGGGGTTCCTGCCGGGCCTCACTGCCGGCGAGTTCCTCCGGGGGTCTGCCATTGCTAAACCTCACGAGTCTTGGAGGAAGCTGCTCCGCGGGGCCGAGGAGCAGAGCTTCCTTGACGTGCCCCCTCTTGTCGTCCAAGTGACTCGCCTCGGCTGCGGCGGCACCGTCCTCTGCGTCGCGTTCGAGCACCAGGAATACGCCATCAACTCCCTCCCCGGCGACGGTGACCCGGCGGTGACGCCCAGCCTCTTCGTCGGACCGCTGGCGCCGGTGTCTCTAACCTTCACGGGGGCACACGTCCAGCGCCTCAAGGACAGGTGCGCGCCGTGGCTCGAGGAGTGCACATCCTTCGAGGCGCTCGCGGCGCACGTCTGGCGCGCGTGGGTGCGGTCCCTCGGTCCTCCGAGCGACCTCCGCGTGAAACTCCTCTTCACCGTCGACATCCGCCGTCGGGTGAAGCCGGGCCTCCCCGAAGGGTACTGCGGCAACGGCTTCGTGCTAGCGTGCGCCGAGTCGACGGCTAGGCAGTTGGCGGCGCCGTCGGGTGAGCACCACGCGGCGAGGCTAGTGCGGGCGGCCAAAGAGATGATTGACGATGACTACGTCCGCTCCACGGTTGACCTCCTCGAGCTGCGACGGGACGCCATGCCAGACCTCTCTGCAAGCCTGGTGATCTCAGCATGGACGCGGATCGGGCTGGAGGACCTGGACATCGGAGCCGGGCGGCCGGTGCACGTGGGCCCGCTGACCAGCGAGACGTACTGCTTGTTCCTCCCGGTGGTCGACGATCCCCGTGGCGTGACTGCGCTGGTGTCGGTCCCGGAGGCGGCCGCCGAGAGGTTGGAGGACCGGTGTCTTCATGGGTTGGATGACATGCATGACGTGGAAAACGACGAGCAGTAATGGTTGAAGCTAGAGTTCAAGGAAATATATATCAGTTTTGCTAGAACTTATCTAGATGAGATATAATTTGGTCCCATTCACATTTTATAGCCATTAAATATTATGCTATAAGATGCGTGTGTGCTGACGTGGGTTTTATCTGTTCTTATTTTCAAAGTGAATGAGACCAAATTATATCTCATCTAGATGAGTTCTAGGTACTCCTCCAATATATGTTGGATGTTTTTCCTACAACCTTAATCTTTCTTGCGGTTTGGCCTTTGAAGAGCGAATTTTATTTTCTAAAGGTAAAGGTATGTACGGTTCAGTGGCAATATCCACTAAATACTTTAGAGCATCTCCAACAGGTGCGTAACCATGCGACGCGCTAAAACAAGTTTACAGGGCCAAAATAGCAACTTTTAGCGCGCCAGAGAACGCTGGCTCCAGCGGTCGCTGCACAAAATTGCACGCCCGCCGCTCCAGCAGCCGCGCTAAACTACAGCAATCGCGAGCAGCTAGCGCTTGCAATATGTTCATTTTGAGACGATATTATGACATTTTAAACATAAAAAAGACGTAGTATAGTTTAGTTGCACGACACATCAACAATCATGCCACATCATCATCCAACCAAATTCATAATATAAAAGTTCACACAAACAAATGGCACATCAACGATCATGTCACATCCTCATCATCGTCCTTCCCTTCCTCCGATTCTTCATCCTCATCCAAAGACGATTCTTTCTCCTCCTCTTCATTGTCACGCGCTGCATCATCATGGGGAGCTCGAAAGGTGTAGGCAAGATCTTCAACGAGATCATGCGAAGGTATGTGAGGAGGCACACCGGAAGACATGCGTCCACCCATGTCACCCGGAGGTGCTCCCATGCCTCCCATGAGAGACGCAAAACTCATGCCTCCCATGCCTTTCATGGTAGCTCCAAAGCCACCCATGCCTCCCAAGCCGTCCATGGTAGCTCCGAAGCCACCCATGCCTCCTATGGCAGCCATGCCTCCCATGCCACCCATGCCTCCCATAGGTGCTCACATGCCTCTCATAGGTGCTCCCATGCCTCCCATGGCCATGGCTCTTTTTTGGACCAAGACTTCCTCACGGGCAAGAATGACGTATTCATTTTGCTTCTCATCGAGAGTAGATGTGTCCATGAAGAACAAGTATTTCTCCCATTCCAACATTCTAGTTCTCTCCTCCATGGCCAATTTCTTCTCCTCCAATGCCACCTTCCTCTCCTCGGCCACCACACTCCTCTCCTCGGCCGCCGCAACTTGGTTCCTTGCCATCTTCCTCATTTCGTGGGCTTCCTTTCTTGCGTTCACAATAGCTTGCATAGCATTTTCTAACTCACCATATATTTTCATCTTCTTCTTTTCTTTTCCGTCTTTCTTGCCCACATTTGGTATTTTTGGCTTGGAGTAGGCAACCAAGTTTGGTGTAGGGCTTCTCTTGCCATCTTCACGTGATTCCCCCTCGTCATCATCATCCAAATCAATTGTTCGCTTGCATTCGTTGCTCTCCTAATCGACACCTTCACGGGGCTTCCATTTCTAATCACCCTTCAACACATCATAGCAATGGGGCAAGGTAAATGGTCTCCCTTTCTTGATCTTCCCTTTCTTGGCCTTCTTCTCCTCTCCTTGAAATAAGTTTTGTGCAATAGTGAGCTACAAACAAACGAACAATTTAGCACTTGAAACACCAAAGAAGAAGCATGAACATGGAAGAAAAAGTTAGCACTTGAAATGACACTTACACAATCTCTATCGTTAGTGCCACTGGGTTTATCGTGTCAACCGCCTTAAGTGTGGCCGCCGACCTTTGACAATCTTTGTTGATTGTCTACCACCGGGAGCGAAGAGATCTTTCCGTGCCGTCAATTCCATTTTTGTTGTGTAAATCAAAGTGCCCCTTCATCCGGATCCAATATGCATCTCTACTTGATCCCCTACAACAATGGCATCCCTAGACACTTTCAAACATGTATTGCTTAGCAAGATGTCTTTGTCCATGTGTAGTTTCCCGATCTTCCTTTCGGTGCATCAACGATACCCTCACCATCCTCGTCCACCTCAAACTCATGATCATCTAAATGCACATCATTTGTTTGAGACCAATGAGAATTGTTGGAGCCAACACCCATAGTTGACATATATGTCTCATCATTGAAACTACAAAGTATATACAATAAAACAAATAAGCTATCCATATGTATCCATTCATGTAAAAAACAACAATGAAAAAAAGTGGGGGAAATCATACCTTGTAGGCATTTCATCGAACACCTTGTGTGCATAGGCCTCCGGCGCTTCGGCCGCTGCCGCATCCGCCGCTGCCGCATCCGCCGTGCGCCCCTGCAAGCTTCTTCTTCTGTCGCCTAGAGGAGCCGTCCGCCGCCTTGTTCTTCTTCCCGGACACCTTGCCGGCCTTCCCCACCGCCGCATTTGGGAGCTTCGAGAGGGGGGCACGTGGCTTCACGGCAGGCGCCGGCGCGATGCCACCCGCCGTGGTTGTCCGTGGCACCATGGAAAGGCTGCACGCGAGACCGGTGCTTGGATGAGCACCGGCGGAGGCGAAGCCAAAGCTCCCCGCGCTAGGGTTTGGGCGGCGGCGGCGGAGGGGTCACGGGTGTACGAAGGGGTGAGGGGGATGTCGGCGTGGCCGTCCATCAGGCGAATTCGCCGGCGGCGGCGCAGGGCGGGGTGAAGGCGGTGTCGCCGGAGAGGGTGGCGGCAATGCGGCGTGGGGCGCTCGAGTGCGCAGCGTGCGGGAGCAAGTGCGCGAAATAAGCCATGCGAGATGCCCTTTCGCTCCGCGCGCTGAACCACTTATGCCGCGCGCGCGTTTTTTGCGCCTCCGCTGGAGCGCCCGGAATGGCTGCGTGCGCGCAAAAAATGCTATTTTTTCAGCGTGACGCTAATATCGCGCCACTGTTGGAGATGCTCTTAGAGAAAGGTGTTAGTGGCACTACTCCAATTATTATTTTCAACTAACCATATCGTTTAAACCATAATTTTAATTTTAACATGTTATATGTAAAATTTGATTATAAAAATGTGTAAAATTTGAATATCATGTTCTTTTACGCGTTAAATATTTTTAAAATGCTATTTAGGGTGCAATGTTAATCAATGGCGCACAGTCCATCTTTATTTCATACCGGCGATTTGTATTGCAACATGTAAAATTAAAATTAATATTTGGGAAATGTTATAATCCTTGGGCATGCTACTTCACTAGGTTCTCTATTTGTACATGTTTCATGATCGAAGACCCTACGCACGTACCTTTTCGTGGGGAAATTCACGCGCATACTTACCAATGGACTACACAATTTTTTTTAGTGAATACACAAAGAATTTTTATAGGATGTACAGACACTTATAAAATTCATGAACATCAGAAGTACATGAAGGTTTATTTTGAAAACATCCGAACTATTCGTGTGATAGTCATGAATGTTAATAGTGGAACCGATAAGTACATTTTAATCTGTGTTCCATCTATTGCATGTGATGGCTATACATATAGGCTTTCTTGAATAGACTTAATTTATAAACGTGGCCTCCTCAATGTCGAACAACACCGCAAAGATGATGCTCGAGTGTGCTCATAGGTGCACGCCATCAATATGATGAGTTAGAATCAAAATTGGATCAAAATGATAGCGGCTCAGGTAAGAAACATTTATTGTCCCATTGCAACGCAAGATCATGTTTGCTAGTGAATAATAAATTCAAAACGAATTGAAAAGATCTAGAAAAAATCTGAAACTTTGGGGGATGAAAATAGATGATCAAACTTTTAATATTTTTGCAAAGTTTTACCCACAAATACCATTCGAGGAGCCCTCACCCAAAAAAATAATCACTGCTTAAAAGTGCACATAAACTTTGAACACTGATTTTGCTTTGTTAGGTGAGGGCTCCTCAAATATTATTTGTGGCTGAAAATTTGCAAGAACATCAAAAGTATGATCATCTTTCAGCCCCCAAAGTTTCAGATTTTTTGATTTTGTTTTCATTTTTTTATGAATTTACTATTCATAGAGGGAGTAGGGGCGTAGGGACACCCGGGTGTTGAAAGTTCTATCTCATGACTTTAAGATCGTGCACATATAATCCTGCGTGGAAAGTACTATATGCCTGACCATTCTTCAATGTGTATATCACATATAGGTCAAATCAGGAAGGTCCTTAACATTTTCTATTTTCTCAGAGGGAATATACAAGGTGAATGCATGACTCTGTCACTCTTTCAGCTTCTCCCTTGGCATGTAGTACAACCATAATGTATAAATCTGGCATGTAAATGTCCGTGGATGTGTCTGCATGCGTCCACAGACAACCCGATCACCCCTCAAAGGTCGGCTCACATCCGTTATTTTCAAAAACTCACATACATGCCAATTATTAGGTACCAAACTCCTCGTAAACATCTTGTGTACTCTAGATTTTTCTATTTGCATATCTCTAATCGTGAAGTTAATTGCCAAGATATATTTGTGTACCACACACTTATTAAGATAGTTAACGACACACACATACATGTACGTTACATTAATATACGATTCACAAATTAATCCAAGAATACATGGGATTTCATTATTTCTGGTTTAATCACATTTAACTTGAATTGTTTTTAAAATCTTTTAAGGTGTATTTTATTTCAAAATATTTTTTATTACAAAAAATATTAAAATTTACCATAACAATTAGCTATCATTGCGAGTTGGAAAAATTACTTCTATCAAATATTCAAATTTAGTATAAATATTGATATTTAGTATCACACGCTCCTACGGTGGCTTCACAAGGAGTGTCAATTTCATTCACCCGTAGCATGATTGTAGCGAGAACAAAAAGCGAACCCTGGACGCCGGTGATTTTCCTTACACCAAAATTTTACGGGGACGATTGGCATGGCCGCGAGAGCGAGACAAGCGTGGAAAAATAAAAGCAAAGAAAAACTAAATCCGAAGCTGTCCGCGGGCGATGTC